AATTCAAATAATTGACATCTCATCTCATATCATTGAGTTACAGAATCATAGAATGTCTTGGGTTGGAAGGGACCTTTAAAGATCATCTAGTTCCAACCCCCCTGCCATGGGCTGAGACACCTTCCACTAGATAAGGTTGCTCAAAGCCCCTGACCTTGAACACTTCCAGGGGTGGGGCATCCACAATTTCTCTGGGCAACCTGGTCCAGTGCCTCACCACCCTCATTGTAAAGAATTTCTTCCTAATATCTTATCTAAATCTACCCTCTCTTGACACCACATGGGGCATTTCTACATTCAACACAGTCCTCTGCCTTTTGAGCTAGTGGGGAAACTGTCATGTAAGTTTGCCATCTCCTTTAAACTAGAAGACATGAACAGTATTCCGAATAGATATAAATATATTTACCCTAGAGGAGTGGGGAGACACAAGAATACTAAGTTCCATTTCAGACTTTCCAGGAAGTCATGTGTAGTTTCTTTCCAGTATAGATTTTTCTGTGCATATTCTACTTCTCCCATTTCCTTTTCTTACAGCTTTTCTCATTTGATTTCCCTTTACCTTTTCAGTTGTGGTTGTCCCCTTTGGCTATCTCATCCCACACACATCCTTCTCGCCTGTCTTAGTTTATTTCTGCAGATCTCACAGCTCAGGTTTCTGTTCTTCTTCCGAATCCTAAATCCTTATTCATTGTTTGGCTAGACCTCTTCTTTCAGCTCATAGTCCCAATATCCATTCAGTTCCTAGCTCTTCATAGTTTTCTTTTTATAACCTGTTCCATTTTGTGTGGTGTCTGGGACAAGTTCACTCTTCATTTGACTTGGACAGCCTCTTTCTTTTTGTGGCAAGATGTTGAGGTCATTGAGAGCCTAGAGAGGATGACCACCTTCTCAAACGTGGTCTGATTTAGTTCGATAACCGCCACTGTGTTTTACCTCCTGATGTGAGGATTTAAAAGTGGACCAGTAATACAAAGAAAACTAGCAACCAATGAACCTAAGGAGGCTTAGGTTTTGTCAGTATGATAAACAAAAGGGACGTGAAGAGGCGCGTGGCTTAGATTTGTGTGGTAAGAAAATCCTTTTGTGCCACCCAAGAGCCAAACCTCTTAATATAAATATATTCTAGAATTATCTCCCAAGAATTTACTTGGTCCTTCACATTTCTAATATCAGTGGAAACCCTTCAGGAAAATGACATTTTTATGACATCTTCAGTAGTGAGGATCCTTTATTTGCTACATTAAACATTTACAACCCAATGTCTAATCTCCTCAGTCCCCTGAGGTATGTCAGACTCAGCATGAGTTTTCCTGGCATTCTCATCTACCTTAATGGTCTGTCTTGAGGCTGTTTTGTTTGGGATTTGAGTGGGTTAATCATGGTGTTTAGATCACAAATTGCATCTTTTCATAACAATAAATGGGGAAGTTAATTGAATTTTATTTTTTCTTCATGGTGCCATATGCAGTATATTCAGGATTCTTCCATTTGTGTCCTCAATACTATTAATGAGTTCACTAGCTTTAGGTATTCAGCATGATGGGCAGTTAATAAGTGGAAGATTTATTTGCTGATCATAAATTCCGTAGCTAATTTCATGAGGACTTAAGAAATCACTACTAATCTCGCAGTTAATTAGAGCATCACACTAGCCATACTGCTGCATCTACCCAACACTCCTCCTGCTGATACTTGATTTTAGTTAATGTTGCTAGGAACAAAAAGCTTTCTGCAGTACTGGTTCAGAATACAAAGCAACTGTCTGTCGGTCTTGTCTCCTGGGGTTCTTGCGCTGCTGCTCATCACTGCAGTGCTAGAGTCTGTACCCACAGCTCCCTGGGCAAAGTCCTTCTCATCGTTCAGGGAGCACAAAGAAACTGTGAGCTGGATGCAAGGGGCCAAAAAAGCAGGCGCCTCAGGAGAAAAATGTCTGGCATTTGAATGCTGTGGCTCAGGTCATGATCTGAGACTATCCCTCATTTTTGGCATATTCCCATGTGTAGACATATCCATATGTTCACAGGAGCAATCAGTGTGTGGGCATATGGGAAAGTTGCTTTGCAGTGCCTGCGCTCTTAATGTAAGACTTTGTCCTCCTGTCTCTCATCTGGCACTGTGTCTCACAGCAGTGTTCTGTACTGTCCACATCCTCATCCACACAGGGCTATTCAGAAAAGGTAGAAGTTCCTTTATTCCTGGATGAAAGTGTCCACAATGATACTGAATTCCATGTGTGTTAACTTGATGCCTTTAACTCATCTATTATAACTTAACTAATTTTGCCCCTATTGCACAGCACTGCCCTATATTTAGAACAAGCAACAATCCCATCATTTCAATCCCATTATCAATCATTAAGGATTTGCTTTTGTTTTCAAACAGCAGCTATTGTGAAGCACTTTGAAAGTCTTGGTTTTGTGGTGCATTGTGCATACTTACTGTGGTTTATGATAAAAATGAGGGCTGGGAACATTTTCCTTGTGGAAAGCCAAATGGTCTTGCAAAAAAAAAAAAAACCAAACCAAAACAAACCCAAACAAAAACCCCACAAAAAAATCCCAAACTGATAAACTTTTGGCAAGCAACATTTTATCATATACTGTAGTGTTATCCAGTAATGACTTAAAAGGTTATTCAAATGAGCATGAACCATATGGAATGGAATCATTTGAGACTCACCTCATGCACCTTATCCCTTAGCTGGCCATTGACCCAAAAAGCCATAGGTCATGCTAATTCAGGATTTCCAAGCAGAAAAATCTGCACATTTCTTTTTAAGGACAAAGTCACCCAGCCCAGAATTCCAGAATTGTTCTATGACCACAAAGAATAGATGGGACATAATTTAATTAAATCAGCGAATCATAACTTTCTTCTTTACTTGTCAGATGAGTCCCAGAAATGTCACTGATAAGCTATCTATTGCATATTAGTGTTTTCTTTTCAGACATTTTGATGGATTTCTTTAGAATTCCAAACATTCATAATGTCCTTCTCCTTTGGGCTGTCAGGAATGGTGATAGTTAAGGATTTCAGTTCTGTGTTAGCTGTGTTGCTTCAGCAGGTCAAAGCTCTGGTCCCCATTAAGTGCATATACTCCTTCATGAAGGAAGAAATTCAATAGAAAAGAGATAAAATCTGTGGTGACAGTTTATGAGCCAGTGGTGTAGCTCCCTAGTGCTCTGTAGCTGTTGGAGATGTGTCTGCTGCAATTTACTTTTTAGTGCTATAAATGAATTTAACAAACGTTTCTCTCGTAAGGGCTGCAGCGGGATCTGCTGAATTGAACCTAGATAGCCATTAAGTACTCACTAAAAGAGCTTAAAGGTCTCCTGTCAGAGCAGGTTAAGCAATAATAAACTCTAAGCAAAGAGAATCAGGCTGTAACCCAGAGCATCAGAGTGCGTAAAGCAAACCTCACAATTGACCCTCCTTTTGCTCGCTTGTGTCTCAGTCTGTGTTCTCTAGTGAAAAAATCTGGGAGGTCGCAATGAGCACTGTTCCCTTCTGGCCTTTCTGAAAACGTGCAGGTGGATTGGCATCACTATCAGCTGTCAGTGTAGCTTCAGGAGAAGCATGAGCTCTTCCCTTCTTCCCTAGTCTTCCTGCCTATCCCTTCTTTATGTTCTTGTTTCTCCCTCCAGCTTTGTTTCCCTGCTTCTGGTTTTCACGGGTTCATAGCTGTTTTGCTGTTCAATTTGCTTTCCAAACATGATGCTGGCAGCATTGTTGATGTGTCCCCAGAGCCCTGCGCTGGCCTTTGAGGCCTGTAACAACCGTGACTGCCTTAGGTGCTGCCCTACTCTCCTCCCTGAAAACGATGGAGCTTCTCTTTCTGCTGCTAGCCTCGGTGGGCCACAGAAATAAGAGCCATGTTCCCAATTATCTTTAATGCTGTGTTGTTCTCTTATCAGACTGAAGAGCTTCTTGGTAGATAAATATCTCTCCCTCTTAACGAACTTCTTTTGAACAGCAGGAGGGGCTGCAGTACAGTTGTTTTTTCTCTTTATCTCAGAACTGTCAGTGACTTCATGTTGCTTCTTGTTATCTAGTTACCAAAACTGTTTATGAGTTGATATACTGCTCTCCTTCTGGAATACTACATATGAGGATTTAAATCTCTTTCCTGCTGCTCCCCTACTTTTTTGGGCCATTGTTTGATTAAAGACCTTCCAGGGAGAAAAAAGAACTTCATTCAGTGATGCAGTTTTAGAAAATCAGGTATTCAAGAGTTTTCACTTGTTTTCTTTTTATTTAATGAGATCTTAGCAGGTAGCTCTCTTGGTACCTTCCTTGTGGACTCACATATACTTCTCTTTTGTTCTTTTTGTGGTTTGTTTTTTTTTTTTTTAATTTTATTTTTTTAATTTCTTTTGATTGCAAGAATAGAATGGCTGTGGAAACCTAAATCCCCTGTTATTAAAAATGCTACCATCAGCTAAGGGGTATTATTTGCTGTATTTTTACAAGTTCTTCTTTTTTCTCTAAGAAAAAATGAAGATGTTGTGTTGATTTTGTGTGTAGATGGAATAAAGTCTGTTTTGATTTGAAAGCAGCCTTACATCAACATAACATGGTGCTGGACAGTTTTCTCTGAAATCAGGCTGTGACTTTCATTATTTTAAAGAATTTTTGTAGACTTTTAAAGAGTTTTGAAACTGTATAAGAGCACCCCCCCAAACTCTTGTTCTGGAGTATATTCCTTTCTTTCTAGTTAATAATTGATGTTAACATAAGACAATGAATTACACAATTTAACTGAATCTTCTTTAGCGTCTTTGGTATGAAAAACAGTTAAAAACTGAAGTCTTTGATAATTATAAATGGGTGAAACTAATGATGAATAATATGTTCGTGCTTTTAAATGACTGTTAAGATTTAGATAGTGGAAAGCTTTTGTGAAGACATTCAAAAAATAACCCGAAGCATATTGCAAATCCTTTAAAGCTCAAGAGAACTCAGTTAAAGAGGTTTTTCTTTGTTTTTTGATTTTCCAGCCATTCCCCTAGGAATTATAGTTGTACGAGGAGATTGTGACTTGGAGACCTGTCGCATGTACATTGATCGTCTACAAGAGGTGAGGTTTTAGTGAATTGAGGTATCATTTATTAATCTATATTATGCTGCTTTCACTTCTCAGTGCAGGAGTCTGAGAGCTGCAACAACCATATATTAAGAATATTGCAATTTGCCTGCCTCTGAAAACAGAATTTTAGAGTTATGATATGATAATAAAAGCAGTAGTAGCATTGAAAAATATTTTCTAAACAGGAAATGAAAAGTCATATTGACTCCATTTAAATGATAACAGAATTGATGTGGATGAGTGTGTTTACTTCTCCTTGAATTGGAATGGAATATCGTGGCTCTCCACATACCTTGCTGATATTACATATGTCTTATGTAAGGGTAAACATTGTGGTATTCGAGTGGGTCTAATTATGCAAATGTAATTCTCATGGAGTAATATGAGACACCAATGTACACTAGAAATAACAGCTAGATATTTCCAAATACACAGAAATGGATGCTTATGCAGGTAATAATAATATTACTCTTACTGTCTTGAACACCTTGCCTCATGAGAGTTCATTCTAAAATACAGTCTGGGAAATGGAGACTCCAAATGCCCCATTACCTGAATAATTTTAAGTGTCTATGTCTATGCCTTTAGTGATAAAAAGAATGGATTTTTATTAATATACCATCTTTGACACTTTTTAATCTTTTACTGATATCTTTCAACAACTTTTTACAAGTGTGAGGACATTACGTAGGTTTCTATATAGTGGTCCAATTTACATAGGAGCTATGAACCTTATCCCTCCCATTAAACTCTTTGGGAGCCACTGACTTCCCTGTGATTTTGAAACCCTGCAACTGCAGCCTGAATATGGGCCTTAGTATCTCACTACAGGCTTTCACTTTTTTTGCATTTCATTCAGGATTCCCATCATCAAATATATTTCTGAACATTCAGACCTGAGCTGTGGCTATTATTAGCAGACATAAAACCATATTGTAATGTGATGCATATTTGACGTATCTCGCGATGGAAAGTTACAATGCAGTAATTGTGATGATGTTCTGAGCAGATTACAAATGTGATCTCATACTGCGCTCGGGCAACTTACTGGCCAGTATTGGGTGGCAAGTAGTCGTACAGCCCTGGAGGAAGCGCAGCTAGAAATCTTGTTTGAATTACTCATAATGGTTGTGGAGGAAATGTGTCTCTCCAGCCTTTTGCAGACTTTGTACTACTTTTTTTAATGTGTGTGCTTGATTTGGCTCAGACCCAGTTTCTGGAAATGGAGGTACTAAGGTTTTCTGCACTCTGCCAACTTGCATGTCAATTGGGGAGCTATGGTCTGTAGAACAGACTTTTTGGTAGGCTATGTCATGAGCTAAAACTATTTGACAAAATCTCTATTAAAATAAAATAGATTCCTGAACCCTCCTAAATACCAGGGTCGTTCTGAGATGATCTCACTGACATGAGGTTGTCTTAAAACAGGGAGAACTGCCAGTGGTTTTCTTTAGTGCTTTAATTATTCAGAAATATTTGCCAAAAAGATTTAGATTTTAGCATCTTTTCTTTCATTTTGTTGCTCTAAATTTAGATAGTTTTCATGGAACAAATAGGTCTGTGATGTAGTAAAGATCCAATAACATAATCTTTGTATTTTTAAAAGCCTTTTTTTGACCAAATACACACCAATCTAAACTTTGTGAGCTTTCCATGACTATTCTGTGGTGTTTGTTTCATATGCTTAAAACCAGTGAGAAATATTTGCAAAATTATTTGCATTTTCCCAATCTCTTTAGATAGTAGAAATGCAAACAGCTGTTGTTGGTTTATTTTTTTTCATCATGGCTGTGTCTTTCATACTCCTGCCAGGACCTGCAGTCGGTAACTTCTACAACACAGAGAGTTCATTACCAGGTAAGATAAGCTTTCGTTTTAGTATCGAACAAAAAGAGACTTAACAGCATGGACTGCACTCTTTGCATATGAACCCAGGCTTTCTTTTTGTTATACACCTCGATGTTAGGTGAATTTCTGATTATCATTTACCCTCAAACGTTGGAGCTTCATTCTGCCTCCCCATGGACAATCCTTTTCCTTGCAAATGTTATGGAATCATCTTTAAAATTAGCACAGCACAATGATGCAAGAGGTATTGCAGCAGCAGTGCCTTGCATATTGAAGTGAATGAGAGAGTCTGTCCTGTAGGACAAATGACAAAAGTAAAATTGTTTCTCTGTCCGAGAAACTGAATGATAACATGTTATATTGCATAGCTGTAGTAATAAAGTCTATCACTGAGAAAAAAGATGTGCCAGCAGGCCTAACTTCTTAATAATTCTGTGCACCACAGTCATATACCTTTAGTTTAACATAATCTTCAGAGTAGTTTTTTAATCCATCCTAGGCACAAATGTATCTTTTGCATGTGACAGACAGGTTCTAGTTTTAGGTGGATAGTTTTTAAAATTGGTCTCTTTGTGCATTTTACAATTTTATTCTACAGTTCATGCAATACAGAACTTGCCTTTACAGTTGGAAATATTATACAAGAATGCATATTTCTCATAGTAAAATGTTGCGCTGCACAGTGCTTAAATATGGAGTAAACTAACTCAGACTAACTCTACTGACTCCTGAGCTAATCTGATATTAGTGCAGAGACTTGACACAAACCATGTCGAGTTGACACAGTGCTTAAGATCTCAAAACAAGTTTGCACGGTGTTGATAGCCTTTTCCTGGATTTAACAGTGCAAGTCTTGGGATTTAGTTCACTGAGAAAGCGTACAGAGACCCAGCTGACAGGAATCCATTGTGGTGAAATTGCAGATAACTTCTTGGGGTTTAATGATTACCTGCATGATACAGAATTCCATTTTGGCAAGAATGCCTGTAAATGTGCTGAATGCAGGAAGATGCTATGAGAAAATGCAATTTGGCATGTTTTCCTGGAGTTGACTTCTTCATACCAGTTCATGGTTTGTTTCTGCATTTCCCTGTCCAATTTTAACCTCATGTTTTTAACATTTGTATCAGTCATTGCCCCGGAACTGAGTTTTAGAGCAGTGTTAGTGTCTAGCAAATTGGCTGATAAAACAGCATGTGTTGTTCTGTTCTGCTCATTATAAATTAACCTAAGTGACTGCTGACTGCTCCATGTGTAGGAAACTGCCTGAGGTAAAATGAAGAACTAAATCTGTGTATATCGGGAGGGCCAAAAGAGGGTACGAAATGTCAGAAATCATCCCCATGCTTGGCTCTAACCTCTACAGTTATAACAGTATATAAATTAATTGCCTAGCCATCTTCTCTAGTGCATGTCCATGTGAAATCCCTAATATACTATCAATTTTTTATGATGTTACATTTTGAATGCACCCCCCTCTGTGTTTTGTCTTCAGTACTTATTTATCCTGGATTCTTCAAACTTTGGTTTATTCTCAGTGGGTCATTTCTACAAACTGTCTCATTAGGTTAATTTGAGGTTTGTTCCACGTTTGTTGGTGTTCCTCAATGCATTACAGAAAGTGGAAAAAGCAGGGGGTAAAGGGCATGGATAAGGTGCTTGAGTTGATGGAACTATTTTCTTACCTCACTAACAAGGTGTCACGGGTACTTTTAGGTCTCGTAAACGCAGTTTGCTTGTGCTATTCCTCTGCAGCTCAAAACATGGGGAGTCAGCAGAAACATCAGCAGGCTCAGGTGCAAATGAGAAAAATTATGCTGGAGTTGTTTTTCATTCTGTTTTGTTTCTCTAATGAGTTTAATGCTTATAAAATATCATTCTCATGGGCCTGACACTTCCCAAGTTAGTTCTGCAGTTCAACTGTAATGGAGTCTTGGAAGGAGCATATCAAAATATGAGTTTGTGACTTGAATTTACATTTACCAGTATCATCCCTATCTTAATTTTCCCAGCATTGTGTACTCTGCTAGTTCTATGAATTTTTACTTGTTTCTCCTCTTTGTATCATCTACCTTTTTAGTACACACTGTTATCTTTGGAGGTCTTCTTCCTTTTGACGTTTGTGTCCCAGTCCTCAACTTTCTGCAAATAGTGGACTAAATATTAAGATACCTAAAGCTTTGTGCATATGTTTACATAGACATTAGCAAATCTAGTGGATGTCAGAAACCCCTTGACTCTCCCACATATGCCTCACTTGCGATACAAGCAAATATAAGCGTCCCACAACTCCACAGGCCCATATTAGAGAAAGACATAGGTGTATTTTATATCTGATGCTTAAATCACTGAGTTACATCATTTGGTCCTCACGTGCGGAAAAAGTTAACTTTATTCAATGTTATGCTGTTGTTGTCTTTGCCTAGCCTGTAATGTACAGAGGTTGGAGGCAAAAACCTGTACATGAGAATAAGGTTTACGGGATCAAGTGCAATTTGTGAGTCTAAATATGGGAGAGAATTGAGGCTGTTTTATTTTTTGTTAGGGTGCCTGTAGATGCAGGTGTTGTGCATCAGAAGACATACATGTATATATAATTTATTTTAGTCAAGCAAAGTCTGTAAGTTGCTGCAGTAACATTTCAGACGAGATCTGTTGCCAAGACTATAGCCTAACTCTTAGGGCACTGAGGAGACAACAGATGAGTTGCCTGGAGCTGTCTTGGCTTTCTGTCCTGGATAATCGGAAAGGAAAGGCAATAATAGATGATTCCAGTCAATCCCAGAGGCAGAAGCTAATAAGATGAATCTTGCAAAAGCTGTCACGATACTGAATGAAATTAATAACATTTTGTAGCAGTGTCATGCCAGGCACTGATATGTGTTCACCTGGCTGAGAAATGAATGTCCATCAAAATGCTAATCGCCATCAGAGCTGCTTGAAAACAACACATAGTGCGTGCAGGCACCCTGCTGACCAGGAAGCAGGGGAAGCTAAGAACTTGTGCGTATCTGAACAACATCAGCATGACTTCCTTTTTTTTTCCCAGGTGGCTGAAAATTGTCAGATACCTTTATGTAAATCGAGAGAGCAATGTCTGCCTCTTACATATGAGGGCATTATTTACTCTGTAATCAATTTGGAGATTGTTTTATCAAGTCAGACTGAAACGACAACATCCTTCAGCATTCTCCGAGATTTTCTCCAGACTGAAGAAAGCAAACTGCTTCTTCCCTGTGGTTTCACTGACACATGTCTGGGCAGGCTGGGGAATTGAACTGACGAACCATTTTTTCTATCTATATATTCTTTATTTTTTTAATAACTTTTTCTCACACATGGCTACTCAGATAAAAATTATTTTAGAAATATGTCAGATTTGCAAAACACTGAGATAAATTGCTGAGAAATACCTATTACTTCTAGGTTTTCTTAATGATATAAGCACTGGGCAGTAAAAGCAGAGGAAAATATATAGGAAACTGAACCTTTGAGAATCTGTATGAATGTTCCAGATGTGGTGGATGTGTTTGATATGCCATAAATTTCATTTTAACTCCGTGTTTATGTTTCTGCACTTTCCCTCTTCTTGTATACAAAGCAGCCTTGCTTTCCTCCTTCAAACCATGCACATGGTGCCAGCTGCCTGAAGGAATGGTGGGTCTTGTGTTATTTGGAGTCTCTTGTTTTGGCTGGGTGCAAACCTTTGTAAAAGGTCTGCTGTAGCTCAGGCTGGAGTGGTGGATTTCTGTGTTATGCTAGGGGTTAAGCATTCATAGCCCTGTTCTCCTTTCCAGCTGAAAACCCATGTTTGTTTGAAATCTCTTAATGGAACTTGCTCTTTTAGCCAGCATTTACTTTCTGGTGTTGCACCTTCAAACAACTATTGACTTGATATAGCTGTACAATTCCCAATATGAAGATTCCTTGTCCCGCATCCTGCTGTCAGGAAAGGTGCTGGGCTCCTGTGTGATATTCTGAGAAATCCCAACAAGATACCATTGTGTCTTCGTCTGTTTTCACCAATCTATACCCATGTTATAAACATATGTACGTATATATTATTCACATTCTGTGCTTTCCGTGCAGAGCAGTACTTTTCTCAAAGATACTTTTCCTCCATGTTGCTTCTACTTTTTGTTTTCTTGCCTTATGATTTCATATACCATCCTGTAGTCTGTTACCTGAAGGAGGAGTAAAGTTTAATCCTGAGCTAGTGTGTGCCTGAATTTACATCATTTGCAGATGTGCTGATTTTTGTGCTTAAGGTGTAAATAGGTATAGAATCTGGCTCTATATGAACGTTGGGTGTGTGCCCGAGATCCACGCTATTGTATTTTCTCCTGGGCAAATCTATTTGTGTTTAAACGTTGTGTCCCAGTGGCTTTAAGATGGCTGGCTGTCCACTGGTAGTACAGAGCAGAGCCACAAAGACCCTCTGCTTTCTGAGATTCTTTTGCCTCTCCATCTCAGTGAGAGCTGAAAAAGTAAGGGGCAGCTTGTTTGACTCCTTGGTGAGTACAGGTCAGGAAATAGGCCTTCATTCATCCACAGTCATTTGGTTTGGTTCCTGAACTAATGTCCATCAGCTCCCAAGAAGCCCATCTTTTTAGCCGGAATAGGAAGATGTTGCTGGAGGATGTCTGTTTGTCTGGCCAGTGGTGGTCCCTAGGTCTGTGATTTCTGTATTCTAGGTGTAGAGAATAAGGCGTTTTTACCCTGATGTGCATTTGAGACATGCCAGGGACAGGTGAAGTGAGGAATTGCTTTGAGTGACAGATCCCTACCTTTTTTTTTAAAAGTACTGAGCTGGAATAAAGGAAGGTGACAGGCACACAAGAAACAAATGTAGTAATTAGGGTTCGTGGCTGTTGTTTGAGATTCCTGTGTATCTTTTTGGCCTCTTTCACCTTTCTCTGTTCCTGTGTCCTCACAGATAAGGGCGACTGTAGGTAGCTGAGAAAGCTGGTTTTGATGCAAAGCTTTTTGGTACTGCTGAGCTGAATGGAAGGGGACAGCTGAGGATGTGGCTGAAGCTAACTGTATCAATTTACTCTCATCTATGAGATGCCAACCTTGACGTCAGTGAGGAGCAAACCTAGTGGGTTTGGGCCATCTCAGTTTTGCACATTGTGCAATGTCAGTAGAGCAAAATGAAAAAAGCAGAGACTAGAAAATAGTCCTTTTAAGAGGAAAAAATTTCTTGTTTTTTTTAATGTCATTTCCCTGCCCTATCCAGGACCAAGAAAGCTCTTTCCCCAGAGTACTTTCTGTTCAGAGGCTATCTCCTAGATGGTGCTTCCTTGATGGTAAGTCCATCTCCTTTCTTTTGTGCCTAGCATGCTGCTTGCTTCTGGTGTGCGTGTGAAGGATGGTGCATCTGAAAGTGTTACCATGGAGGGGTAACTGCTCCTTCCTGTTACACTAAGCAGGTGAAAAAGGAGCTGGGTGCCCCCCCTTTCCCCTCTGAACAATGAAACAGGCCCTTCGTCTAGCAATCAAAATGTCTGCTTGTAGCATTGTCACCCCAAGGAGGCATGTTCTTCCAAGGGTGGTTAGAGGTTTAGTTTATCAGTGTCTCTGTTGTGATGAGCAGCACTTACTGCATGGCAGTGCCTGGACTCAGAGTGCAGCTGGTTTTGGCAACATGCTGCTGCTGGTAAGGCTGCATTCTTCTCTCTGGTGTCTCTTTAAGTACTATGGTGTTTCGGTACTATAGTGTTTAACGGATGGAAATGTACTTCCCTTTCCCTGTAAGTTTGCACTTAATGTAACTCCCTGGAGAGCTGCACTTGTATTTGACCCAGACTTTGTCAAAGCAGACGGCTTATCTGGGCTTTACATCAGGCTCCAGAGCACTAGAATTAGCAGCTAAAATGGATGGTATCTGCTTTTGCAAAAGCTTCAGCATGGGGAGACTGAAATTTTTATTGTTCTAAACAAAAACAATTTCTCCTTGGCAATTTCTAATCAGTCTTCATTGTCTCTCATGAGGGAAATTGATAAAAGACACATTGAGAATCTGTTTGGTTTTTGGAGAAGGCTGGGTGGGTAAATGCATTCAGTTTTTGTCTTTAGGGATTTGATATTCCTTTGCAGTGCCAAAACCTACGATGCTACGTCACTGTGCTCTTGTGTCAAAACTCCAGAATGAACGAATCTGATTTCACTGCCCAAACTAAATGCAAAGCAGAAACAAAAAAATCACATCTGATGAAGCGCATTGTAGGTGATAAAATACTTCTGGGTTTGGTAATATAAATTATTTGGCAGTGACAGGATTCATAATTGGTGCTTTATTTAGTGAATCTTCCCTATTTTCATATGTTTTTCATGAGTAGCATGAATCGTCCTTGAGCGTATTGGTAATTCAGGATGAATGTCTGTGGCCATGCATTTGATTTACAAAGAGCTCCCAAGCATGTTATTGTTCTTTAGATTCAAAATTTGAATTAATCCTATTAGACCCATCAATTTCATTATATGCTTGCTATACACTCATCGGAACAATGCAGCTTTTTCTGTCACATATTTTAATGTAATCAATTCTTCTTATAAGCCTGAAATCCATTTTATACATTTTTTAATATTTATTTCAAGTTAATAATTTTAGTGAATATTGTTTTGTTAAGCCTCACCTTTAAATTCACTGTTTAATGGGATAGGAATATGGACATAATGAATGAATCAGATTATGTTCTTTTGAAACCTCTGTGACTTCACGGACATTGAGGTTGTTTTACACAGTAGTGATGTTAGCTCAACCCACCTTCATGGGGTTCATGGGGTTCATGCAGTTCTACTCAGACCATTTTCTTCACTGCAGCTCTGTTGTTTCTCTTGCAGCAACTTCTGCTGATCGTTTTTACCGCATTGACAGATCTCAGGTAAATCTCTATTCAGTTATTGTTTCTATAGAATTTTTTTTTTTTTAAGCTATAATCAAATGCAGCTTAAAATGAATTATCTGTCATTCCTCCTGTGTATTCTAAAATGCTCCTGATGTCTCATGAAAAGTAGAGAAAAATTTCTGGGCCTTTTTAGTTTATGTAGTTTGCGTTGTTTCACTGAAGTTTTATATCTGCCGGACATCTACCCTTCTGTGTACTACCAATCTGATCTACAGATCAGAGTTTTCTACATTTGTCATCCTTATCAAGTCCTACTAAAGGCATCTGTGTGGCACCAGAGTATTTGAGTTTATCTTTTCACTGAGGCTCTCAGTCACCAGAAGTCTTGATCCTGTGTGTGTGACATGGAATAGCTATGGAAATTAAGATGATGTTATAAGTTGAGAATTATGAACAGAGCTGTATCAAACATTCCCAAAGAACTCCAAAACAGCATGTAGTTCCGTTGGATTAAAACCTATGGTATAGACTTGACAATCTGAGTAAAAGACACTTTGACAATTTTACACAGCTTTTGGTGTTTCTGATTTGTAGCCAGAAAAGGCCAATTAGTAGCTCAGCGTTAAGTTCCAACTGTTGATTTCGTAGTCCCCCTGAGAACTGCATAAGCTGTTTCTGAATCACATGAACATGAGCAAAAGCAGCTGGTGGTTTAGTTCAAACAGAACGATCTGTGGCTTTGTTCAGAGGTCCCAGGTTCAGTGTCTACATGTAGCCACCAGGGGACTTCTTTGCACACAGTCATATAAACGCTCTGATGAAGTTGTGCCATAAGAGTTGGAAAGCAAGTGTAAAGAAGATGCTGCTACAGGTTAAACTGGGTGATGTGACTCTGGCTTATTCTGCATTTCTTGAATACTTGACTCTGTACAAATGATCATCTTTCCCTTCTACTCCTTTGCCTTGTGTTTCTGTGGGGAAAAGATCAATACTGTATGACGGTCCTCAGGCGGGAAGCTTCCTGCCCACTCGCCAGGTAGACAGTCCTACTCACACTTGGTATTTTTTGAAGGATAATGAGCCTTCAGTGCCAATAACAAAAAAGAAGGACTGAAAAAGAGAGCTTTGGTAGCAGAGATGTGAAACCAGAATGTACAAGCAATGGAGGTCTGGGACAGTATCCCAAACAATGAAAATTTCTGACAGCCATCATCAGAGGGCAGACCTTAGGTGTTGGTCCTCATTTTGAAATGCAAACCTCGGCTTTTTGGGTAGACCTCCAGTTTTCAGCTGAACGGTACAGAGTCACTGAGTAGTAGCCTTTTAAGTGTTGCTTTGAGTGTGAAGCTTGCTGATTTGGAATCCTGTTTGTCTTGAAATCGATGAAATAGTTATTGGTGACTTCAGTGGCATTTGTTTTAGTGTGTGTGTATGTGTGTGCACTTAAATACACAGCCAGAGTCCCGTGACTCCTCTTCAGAGACCCTGATGTGCACCCAGCTTTCCAATACCCAGCTGGGTGCTCTGAGAGACCAGTGGTCCTGCAGGTTCATTATTTGATCCTTGTATCACTCCAACAGGAACATTTGCACTTTGTGACGGAAATTTCGCAGGACGAGATTTTTATTCTGGACCCAGAGCTGGTAATGTCACAGCAGGTGGGGACGCCCCCAGGAATCCCTGATCTGGTAGGGGAGCAGGCCTCTGGGTGAGTGGTGCTGGCATCTGGCTTTCAGCAGCCATATTAGAGTTGGGCATCTCTTTTCTGGTCCTCTTTTCTGAAGGACTGGGAGATGTGGGAGAGTAGATCTTAGATGGGAAGCTGGGCACAGGATGCAGCCATGGTAATGACAGAAGGACAGTGGAATAACATCTACTCCATTAGGCATCCTGGAGCACGCAGCAGGACTCATGGACTTCGGCACCTTTCAACCTTCTCGCACGCCCTGACTGTATCTGCCCCACCATAAATCTGTATCAATTGAGTTACAAGCCCCTCGTCTGCATGGTCAGGGCTCTGATACCACTGTATAAGGCCCTGAAGTCCTCTGTGCCTAAGAAGGATGGTGAAGTGTCTCTGTTTCTTCTCATCATCTGGGCAGACCAGAAGCGCTCCTATTCATCTTTAGGAGAAGTCTTGTATTCATAATGAATTAAGTTATTTTAGTTTGCTATGGGCTGCAAAATGCTGGGAACCAGTAAGCATAAGATAGTTTCAAAGTGGAGCATGCAAGGTAATTTCTGAGCAGTGAATGCCTTTCTCTTCCTTCTTCCCTCCCTAGAATATCAGATCGGTGGAATCCTGCGGTTCGAAAGCGGATGCTGAGCGACAGCGGCCTCGGCAAGATTTCCCCACACTACGAGGTACCTGACAAACAAAAGGACGCCAGCCAGACACATATGCTGCAGTAAGAGCCCTCTGCATTTCTCTGCTTGATGATGCACTGTCACCATCACCACAGACAACTCCTAGTGACCCCTTTAAGCTTAATGAATTGTGCTGATGTGCTGAAATTACAAAAGTCCTTTTGCTTTTTCTCTTTTGCTTCCCCCTTCTGTTTCTCCCTCTTCCTCCATTATTGCATGTTCTTGCTTTTGTTTTTTTCTCTGTGGCACCCTGTACTTTTAATAAACCTAGATCCAGGTTTCCAAAAGGAAATACATTGTTTTGGATGCCTGAAGTTCCAGCTAAGGAAACCTTTGTGGCAACTAGTTGTGAGAAACACGGAAGCGCTCACCCTTAAGGTGTAGCTCTGATGCAATGTGACAAAGTAGAAACCTCTACAATTGCTGCTTTCTTTCAAAGATGCAGACAGTAGTTTTCATATAATCTTGAACCACAGACACCATTGTAAGTGTAGGATGACTAAACTGGTTTTGTTGCTGGTAATTCCCCCATGTAAGAGATTTCTGCCACCACAGTTCTGTTTGCCGTCTTCAGATTTGTGTAAGAATATCTCCTTTCTTTCTCCCCCTCTCCCCCTCTC